TCGAATCGAAGGTGAAATCTTAACGGGTTTGTAACTGTGCACCGTGTTAGATAATGTTCCAGTGGTCTGTCGGGCATTTCTCCACAGTGTTGACATTTCCTCTCACCTTCCGGAACCCGTAAGCCTATGTCCCATGCACATGGGTATCCAAGCCTGATGCGATGTAAGTGCACTTCTGTTGTTCTACTGCCCCCTTTCATCAAACTAAGTGGTTCGTAGTTGGTGGCATTCTTGTACCCACTATGAACTGGCGTATATCGTGCTTACCACAGATTAACTGATCGAGGGCGCTTTCCCTCTGACGGCGTCTAGTCAGGGCGCTCCACACAGCCCACGAAAATGCCTCTGAGTAGCTTATTAAACTCTGCTCGTCGACCAGGACTTGATACCACAACGCTCCCAGCTCGGTTCCACAGCTGGCACGTCTAAACACTTCTCTTCTCTTCGAGATATATCACTAGGGGTTCCCTTCTGGCGGGAGCTCAAATGGAGCGCGGCTTCCCCCTGCGATGTCTGGCACTCAAGTGAGGTCAAGGTCCTCCGGAAGCGAGCCTCACGCCTCCAGCAAAATGTCCACATCTCCTCGCCAGTCATTTATCTGTTTTCTTCTTCATTGCCCATGATCTCAAACTGTTATACATATCCAAGCAACTATTTTACATATGGGTTATTACCTCAATATTCGCTAGACCTTCTAATCAGGTCAGGCTTGACGAATAACTCTCAAGGAGGGAGACTCGTTTCTCCTGCAGGCTGAGATCATAACAACAGGTAACTATCCAGAGTCTTAACCTAACGCCTAACTAATTCCACTGATGTTAATGTGATAATAGTCTCCCTTATAACAAAGTCTAATGCCCTTGGTGAGATACCAACTCTAATTTACAAAACACTCCAAATTTTTAGCTTCTGCGATTGCATTGCTCTACAACAAGTCACTTGAACTCCAAACCTTTCCAGATATTCTGAAAAAAAGCGAGAGTAGTAACCGCAGTCCATAAATGTGGTGATCTCGCTAATGTTAACAACTTCAGACCTATATCAATTATGCCAAGCTTGTCAAAAATGTCTGAAAAAAATAATCTACAAGCAGCTTTACTCTTATCTAGCCAAACACAATATACTAAGCTCTTGCCAATACGGCTTCAGATCCAAAAAAGTACTAATGATGCACTTATTTGTATGATTAAATTGATTCATGCAGCTCTTGATAAATAGGAGTTCCCTGTTGGGTTATTAAATAACCTACGTAAGGCTTTTGACACTGTCACCCTCCAAAACCTTCTTCTTAAATTACATCATTATGGAGTCAGAGGTCAATCCCTCCAATATCTTCAGTCTTACCTTACTGACAGGCTTCAGTATGTTTCTGTGAATAATTTCAATTCTCCCACCATACCCATCAACGTTGGTGTCCCTCAGGGCAGCATAATGGGTCCTCTCCTCTTTCTCACCTACATTAATGACCTTCTTCATGCCTCTCAACACCTCAAATCAATTCAATTCGCTGATGACACAACCTTCATTTTCTCCAGTCCTGACCATCTTGCTCTAAATGTCACAATGAATATTGAACTAAATAAAGTCCATCATTGGCTAACTGCTAACAAACTCACCCTTAACATTGACAAAACTTTTTATATTTTGTTTGATAATAAATCCTCAAATCAAATTAATCTAGGAATAAACAATATCCAAATCGATATAAATAAAAATGTAAATGTTCGTTTGTTCAAAATCGCTAATCTCCGAAAGTTCTTCACCAACAGCTTTAAAATTTCGACACAACGTTCCATTGGCATCCGAGCAGGTTTTTATATACATACTATATAGATGTCACGTCTGTGACTTGAAAAAAGCTTTTTTTTAAACTGTGTTTTTCGTGTGAGGGAATTCTTCGAAACCTCTATACCGATTGGTTTGAAATTTTGACACAACGTTCCATTCGAATAGGCGCGTATTTTTATATACCTACCATATACATACTTCACCTGTGACAGAAAAATACATGCTTTTTTGAAAAACAGTGCCATCTGTTGGATGTAAGAGCAAAAGACACTAATCTCTGCAAGTCGTTTACCGATTGTTTTGAAATTTTGACATTCCATTCGAATACGCGTATGTTTTTATATACCTACAATATAGATGCCACACCTGTGGCAGGTAAAATACGTTTTTTTTTTTAAACAGCATCTGTTGCATGTAAGAGCAACACATGCTATATTAATTATGTTACGAATCCATTTCAATGTTTCTGATTGCATTGATGAACAGAATTTTCATAGATTTCGATTTATTTTCATTTTGATTTAATTATTTTGTGTGACATTGCGTTGGAATTGAGCTGCGTTTTTTACCATACCCTTCATTTTGTGAGTATAAGTATAGATTCCACACCTGTGGCAGGTAAAACCATGCTTTTTTTGAAAAAACGTTTTTTTGGTTTTATAGTAAATCGTCAGTTGTATTCTCTGATTTTTGTCTGTAGGGATAACGTTTCTATTAACAATATCTTTCAGGACCCTTTCCTCCGTTTTATGAGCTGTGGAAAAGAAGTTCCTGTAAAATAGTCTAATAGGGGGTATAGGTGTTGTGTTAGTTGTCTCTTCAGAGGTTGCATGGTGTTTCACTTTCCTTCTTATGACGTCTTCAAAGAAACCATTGGAGAAGCCATTGTTGACTACGACCTGCCTTACCCTACAGAGTTCTTCGTCAACTTGCTTCCATCCTGAGCTGTGGCCGAGAGCACGGTCGACATAAGCGTTAACAACACTCCTCTTGTACCTGTCTGGGCAGTCACTGTTGGCATTTAGGCACATTCCAATGTTTGTTTCCTTAGTGTAGACTGCAGTGTGGAAACCTCTGCTCCTTTCCATGACTGTTACATCTAGAAAGGGCAGCTTCCCATCCTTCTCCATCTCGTAAGTGAAACGCAACACAGAATTCTGCTCAAATGCCTCCTTCAGCTCCTGCAGATGTCTAACATCAGGTACCTGTGTAAAAATGTCGTCAACATACCTGCAGTATATGGCCGGTTTCAAGTTCATGTCGACTAAGACTTTTTGCTCGATGGTACCCATGTAGAAGTTCGCAAACAGGACACCTAAGGGAGACCCATGGCGACCCCATCTACTTGCTTATACATGTGCCCATCCGGGCTCAAGAAGGGTGCCTCTTTAGTACAAGCTTGGAGTAGTTTCCTTAGAATGGTTTCTGGTATGTCAAGAGGAGTACAGGCCGGATCACGATACACTCTGTCCGCTATCACCCCTATTGTTTCATCCTTGTTTCGGATGAAACAATCGGGATGATAGCAAGGAGTTCGGAAGTCTTCTTGGTTTTGTAGAATATTATCAGGTTTATGTTTTGGTTAGGAGTAATGCTTTTTACTCCTTTACGGATTATTTCTTTCATTATTCTTTCCTCTTTTATATGTTCACTGTGCATGGTTGATTTGTAATATAATTTTATTGGAGGTATTGTGGTTTCAATTTTAGGTTCAGGATTATACCAACGGTCCATTTGCATTACTCCTAACCAAAACATAAACCTAATAACATTCTGCAAAACCAAGAAGACTTCCGAACTCCTTATCAAAAACAGCCCGAAGTCGACGGAGAACCCTCTACAGCAGTCAAGCGTTGTATACATGTACACTTGCCCCCACGAAGGATGTAACCTTCAATCTAAGTACATAGGTATGACGTCGACTAAGCTGACGAGGCGTTTGACATGTCATCTTCAATCCGGTGCCCCCAGGAATCACATGAGACAAGCCCATGACATCACCCTAACAAGAGAAATGTTGAACAAAAATACCTGTATAATAGAGAAAACCCAAGATGCAAGAAGATTACAAATTCTTGAAGCAATTCACATAAGAATAGAACAACCTACCATGAACACCCAAATCGCGGAACTATTTACTCTACCCACCATGAGAGTGGGGACAAGACCAGAACATAACGATGCCAACACAGAAGACACTGTTCAACATAACTGGCCAATTACACTTGATTAATCTTTGTATGTAGATAGGAGCTGCCTCGTATGGTCCAATAGGCCTTCCGCAGTTACCTCTATTCTTATGTTCTTATGTTTCACCCCCCCCCCCATTTATCCCTTATGTATCCCCCCTATGTTTTCACCTTTATTGTCTTATCACCTGACCCAGTGCGGGTATAAAATCAACCAGTCCTGAAAATTATTTTCACTTGAGAATGAATCATGGTGGTTTGAAACGTTGTGCAAATTGTATAAATAATTGTAATACATTCTATAGTAATTCACTTCTTTTCTTCACCTTGAAATTACGAAAATGAGTTTTGGAGAACTCCTATTTCAGCTAAGCCCTCATGCTAAGAAAATAGTTAGAGGGATAGAAGCCCTAAATCAGAAGATAGTAAATACTGAATATGCGGTCATATTCAATGAGACATGTTTAAAAGAAAACCTGCTGCTAGTATACACCAATATATATTATATATATACACACACACATATATATATATATATATATATATATATATATATATATATATATATATATATATATATATATATATATTACATATATATAAATAAAAATGGAAATGTTCGTTTGTTCAAAATCAAGAAAACTTGGATTATTAGGCAAATCGGGCCTTGCATAGTAGGCCGAGAAGTGCGTTCTGGCTACTAGGTACGACATTATATTATATATATATATATATATATATATATATATATATATATATATATATATATATATATATATATATATATATATATATATATATATATATATATATATATATATAAGAAGTACACTTGGTGGTGTTTCTGTTTTGAGTTATTTACATCTTTTTCCTTTATATTGATTATTTCTGCCAGTTCTTAATAACTTACCAATGACTCAGGGTGGGATCGAGTAGGTAGAGGCACTAAAGCCCCCATATACACTTTGATAAGTAAAAAACCTAGTTACTGGCTAAGTGAGGCTATAACATCTCTACACTCACCTCCCTGCTCACCATACCCACCATGCCGGACCACGAACCATCGTCCTGTTTTGAGCCAAATGATCCATCAGCCGGGATCACATACTTGTACCTACAAAAGTGAAAAATGTTAGTTATTGCAATTTTTACAAAATATGACAACAACAATCTTAGAATTGGGTTTCCCTTCGAAATATTATATATATATTATATATATATATATATATATATATATATATATATATATATATATATATATATATATATATATATATATATATATATATATATATATATATATATATGCGAACAAGCCTGAATGGTCCCCAGGACAATATGCAACTGTTAAAAATATATATTATATATTATATATATATATATATATATATATATATATATATATATATATATATATATATATATATATATATATATATATATATATATATATATATATATATTAGTATATTTTGGTAGCAGTCTTTCCTGTAGACATATATTATTAAATATGACCGAAAAAGTAAGATTAATAATTCTAACACGAATTTTCTCAATCTTTCGTACATTTCTTTTCACTGTTGGAGGTAAATCAAAAATCAATTCTCCAAAATTCATTTTTATTTCTAGTCTGACGCGACACGAGCGCGTTTCGTAAAACTTATTACATTTTCAAAGACTTTAGTTCACAAATACACAACTGAATAGAACTTACGCATCGCCGATTTTATATCTACATTTGAGTGAGGTGGAAGGGGTGATGTGGCATTAACACAAGACAGAACAAGATGTGGCATTAATAAGGTATTAATTTCATCAACACCAACAGAACAAGAGTATTAATAGGGTATTAATTTCATCAACACAAGACAGAACACGAAACAATGGATATTGAATAGAAGTGTTTGTAGAAAGGCTATTGGTCCATATTTCTTGATGCTTCTATATTGGAGCAGAGTCTTGAGGTGGGTAGAATATAGTTGTGCAATAATTGGCTGTTGATTGCTGGTGTTGACTTCTTGATGTGTAGTGCCTCGCAAACGTCAAGCCGCCTGCTATCGCTGTATCTATCGATGATTTCTGTGTTGTTTACTAGGATTTCTCTGGCGATGGTTTGGTTGTGGGAAGAGATTATATGTTCCTTAATGGAGCCCTGTTGCTTATGCATCGTTAAACGCCTAGAAAGAGATGTTGTTGTCTTGCCTATATACTGGGTTTTTTGGAGCTTACAGTCCCCAAGAGGGCATTTGAAGGCATAGACGACGTTAGTCTCTTTTAAAGCGTTCTGTTTTGTGTCTGGAGAGTTTCTCATGAGTAGGCTGGCCGTTTTTCTGGTTTTATAGTAAATCGTCAGTTGTATCCTCTGATTTTTGTCTGTAGGGATAACGTTTCTATTAACAATATCTTTCAGGACCCTTTCCTCCGTTTTATGAGCTGTGGAAAAGAAGTTCCTGTAAAATAGTCTAATAGGGGGTATAGGTGTTGTGTTAGTTGTCTCTTCAGAGGTTGCATGGCTTTTCACTTTCCTTCTTATGATGTCTTCGACGAAACCATTGGAGAAGCCGTTATTGACTAGGACCTGCCTTACCCTACAGAGTTCTTCGTCGACTTGCTTCCATTCTGAGCTGTGGCTGAGACCACGGTCGACATATGCGTTAACAACACTCCTCTTGTAAGAGGAGTGTTGTTAAAACGGCCAGCCTACTCATGAGAAACTCTCCAGACAAAAAACAGAATGCTTTAAAAGAGACTAACGTCGTCTATGCCTTCAAATGCCCTCTTGGGGACAGTAAGCTCCAAAAAACCCAGTATATAGGCAAGACAACAACAACTCTTTCTAGGCGTTTAACGATGCATAAGCAACAGGGCTCCATTAAGGAACATATAATCTCTTCCCACAACCAAACCATCGCCAGAGAAATCCTAGTAAACAACACAGAAATCATCGATAGATACAGCGACAGCAGGCGGCTTGACGTTTGCGAGGCACTACACATCAAGAAGTCAACATCAGCAATCAACAGCCAATTATTGCACAACTATATTCTACCCACCTCAAGACTCCACTCCAATATAGAAGCATCAAGAAATATGGACCAATAGGCTTTCTACAAACACTTCTATTCAATATCCATTGTTTCGTGTTTTGTCTTGTGTTGATGAAATTAATACCCTATTAATACTCTTGTTCTGTTCGTGTTGATGAAATTAATACCCTATTAATGCCACATCTTGTTCTGTCTTGTGTTAATGCCACATCACCCCTTCCACCTCACTCAAATGTAGATATAAAATCGGAGATGCGTAAGTTCTATTCAGTTGTGTATTTGTGAACTAAAGTCTTTGAAAATGTAATAAGTTTTACGAAACGCACTCGTGTCGCGTCAGAATAGAAATAAAAATGAATTTTGGAGAATTGATTTTTGATTTACCTCCAACAGTGAAAAGAAATGTACGAAAGATTGAGAAAATTCGTGTTTAAATTATTAATCTTACTTTTTCGGTCATATTTAATAATATATGTCTACAGGAAAGACTGCTACCAAAATATACTAATATATATATATATATATATATATATATATATATATATATATATATATATATATATATATATATATATATATATATATATATATATATATATATATATATATATATATATATATGTACTCACCTAGTTGTACTCACCTAGTTGTGTTTGCGGGGGTTGAGCTCTGGCTCTTTGGTCCCGCCTCTCAACCGTCAATCAACCGGTGTACAGATTCCTGAGCCTATCGGGCTCTGTCATATCTACACTTGAAACTGTGTATGGAGTCAGCCTCCACCACATCACTTCCAACCTCCACCACATCACTTCCGTGATGTGTGTGTGTGTGTGTTTTAGGCCTCACCTAAAACTCTTCTAAATGTGAAATAATATGTTCCAACCAGGGCATCGTAGACAGAATAGAGGGTCTTCTGCCAAATATCCATAAAACTAATCATGAAGACAGCACACTTCTAGAAGCTCCCCTGGGGTTGAAAGCCATCAATGAGGTCCTTGATAAGAAAATCGCCGACCTTAAGAGGATGGATGGGAGGATTGAGGATATTGATGCTCATGATGCACTCTACCTCATCACCAGATGTCTGTCCCACCCCAATTTAACCTACTTTCTGAGGTGTTTACCATCTTACAGTAGCCAAAAACTAGGTGAATATGACCGGTTACTGAAATCAATGCTAGAAAAAGCTCTTAACCTCTCTCTTGATGACCTACAGTGGAAACAAGCCTCTCTTCCCATAAAACTTGGGGGCCTCGGAGTTCGAACAGCAATGCAAATCGCTGTTCCAGCCTTCCTGTCCTCCTTATCGGCATCCGACGACCTTGTGAAGGAAATTCTACCTGCCCACTTACATCAACTGGCAGGTGTACATGATCCCAATTTTAAATGCTGTGCCACAGAGTGGGCCTCTCGTGCAGGCCCATCACCTCAACCACCATCCTCGAAAGCCCACAAGCAATCCAGCTGGGATGGCCCCATGGTAGACCAAGTTGCGGCAGAGTGCCTGGGTGCTGCAACAACACAACACGACATCGCTCGCCTCACAGCAGTAGCAGACCCACATGCAGGGGATTTCCTGTTAGCAACCCCAATGTCGGCAACTGGCACGCGTCTCACACCACACGCCCTCCGAATTGCTGTGGCCCTCCGCCTTGCTGCCCAATCCACACAAGATATAGGTGTACTTGCGGCGAGGTAGTGGCCGACAGGTATGGCCACCATGGCCTCTTTTGCCAAAGCACAGGGGGATGGCACTGGAGGCACAGTGAAGTTAACGACATCAAGAGAAGCCTCACCACAGCTGGATTCCCAGCTGAAAGAGAGCCCCGTTACCTAACGCCCTGTAACTCTGATGCTTTTATTGGTCACCCGGATGGTATCACAGTGAACCCCTGGAAGAATGGCAAGCAGTTGGTATGGGACTACACATGCGTATCAACCCTGGCTAACACCTACATTGATCTTAGTGTTGCACATCCCGGTGGCGCTGCCACCCACAGGGAAGCAGCCAAATCTCGTAAGTACAGAGAACTGGATCACCACTACAATTTTGTCCCCATTGCTTCTGAGACACTCGGCGCCTGGGGTAAAAGTTCTACCAGTTTTTTTAGGGAACTGCGTTCTAGGCTCATTGAAACAACAAGGGACCCTAGAGCTGCCAGCTTCCTTTTCCAGCCCCTCAGCGTGGCGATACAGAGGGGAAATGCGCACTGCATCCAGGGGTTCCTGCCCGCCATCTGAGGAGCTGGAGGAACTCGACAACCTATGATAACCATCTTTGTACCCTATGTGTAACTCCTTTTTTGTAACAAAGTTCAAATAAAACAAATATATATGTGTACATACAAAAGAATGGGGGTGGTAGGAGAAGATAATATTAGTGTTCAGTGAGAAACCACAAGGTCTCCTCTGAACACTTTATTTTCTTCTCCGAGGCTATGGGTCCCCACATTGGCACCAGAGGTGGTACCCTTACACACAATATATATATATATAATTATATATATATATATATATATATATATATATATATATATATATATATATATATATATATATATATATATATATATATATATATATATATATATATATATATATATATATATATAATATATATATGTATATTATATTATATATATTATATATATATATATATATATATATATATATATATATATATATATATATATATATATATATATATATATATATATATATTAGTAGGCATCCTTCAGTCTCGGGAGACTATGTAGTAGCGCTCTGGTTGTCAATCCTGGTGCAGCGTCTGCTGTGACTGATGAGGTAGATCCGAGAATGGCAGTCCATATCACACTGAGTACAAACGAAGTCTGATTCTGGTCTGTTGTACTGGCTACCGACTATCCTTCTCTGTCTCTTTGCCTCCGATTTCTTGGCAAGTGATTCCTCGAACTCTGAGAGACCTCTTTGAACAGACTGCCCCCAGGCTGAATCGTCTGCAGCCAGTGTTTCTTTGTTGCAAGATCGACGTCCATGACTTTCAGGTCCCTCTTGCATACGTCTCTGTACGGTAGCTGGGGTTTGC